TCGTCTGCCGGTTGACACTTGGGCTGCTTCCACCTTTTGGCCGTTGTGAATAATGCTGCTATGAATATGGGTGTGCAAATACCTCTCCGAGTCTCTGCTTTTAGTTCCTCTGGGGATATGCCCCTAAATGGAATTGCTAGGTCATGTGCTAATCCCATTTTTAAGTTTTTGAGGAACCACCATACTGTTTTTCATAGTAGCTGTACCAATTTATATCCCCACCCACAATGCAGAGGGTTTCAATCTCTCTGCATCGTCACCCACACTTGTGATTTTGTGTGTGTTTTGTAACAGTCACCCGAACGGGTATCTGGGCATCTCACTGTGGTTTTATTTTCATTTCCCTGATACTTTATGATGTTGAGCATCTTTTCGTGTGCTTATTGGCCATTGTATATCTTCTTTGGAGAAATGTCTATTCAAGTTCCTTGCCCATTTCTGAATCAGGTTGTTTTTTTGGTTGTTGAGTTGTAGGACTTCTTATATATTGTGGATATTAATCCCTTATAAGATAGATGATTTGCAAATATTGACTCCCACACTTTTTAATCAATGAAAAACTAGCTTCCATATTCAAAGGGTCGTAGGTTAGGACCGAGCCTCTGCTTTTCATGCAGTTCCTCACTGTGTTCCATGACATTAGTGCCAAGACGGACGGGCAGGATGTGTCCGCATTGGGGACCCCTGGAGACTATTTGGCTTGTGTCACAATTTGGAAGACAGAAACAATTCTTGGTTTATGCAACTCAATGTAGGAAAATTCCAGAGAAAGCCCAACACAGTGCTCCTAGTTGGCCTTTGAATGGATGAAGGGGTGGCATGGGGTCACTGCCTCCATCACTTCTCCTGGATGCAGAGGGAGAGAGTGGAGAGCTGTGAGGCAGGGGCGAGCTTAGACGGAGCTGTGGGGGAGGAAGGAACGTTGCTCTGCTCTCTAGGCTCTCTCGGCTGGTCCAATAGTCAAATAGACATGAGACAGGTTAGCAAGAGAAAATAACCAAGTTTAACATATGCACACGTAAGGGAACTCTGCACACATGAGACAGAGACCCCACACGCATGAGAGGTTCCAAGACAGAAAGGGAACATGGGTGTATAAGACATCCCAAGCTAACGATGACCTTGGGGCTTCAGAGGGGAGGAAGGTCACTGGAGGACGATTAGAAGAGCAGATGATCAGTAACTAGAGGTTTGCTCTGCCGTACAGATAGGTCATAAAACATTATCTCTGATCATCTCTTACTCTAGGCAAAGCCCCTAATTCAAGTTCTAGGTAGGTAAGGGGGAGGGGCAGAAGTTTCTTTTGAGCCCACAGAGCTCAGAACAATCCACACACCACTCAGGCACATCTTGGGGTAACTCGTCCTGAACCCCCACAGTGCCCTCCCACTTTGTGTCCTATGTTGAATGAACTTTATGCCCTACATCAGGTTTCCTTTTATTTATTTTATCTTAGAGAGAGGAACATTGATTTGTTGTTCTACTTAGTTATGCATTCATTGGTTGCTTCCTGTATGTACCCTGACCCTGACTGGGAGATCAAATCCACAACCTTGGCTTATGGGGACGACGCTCTAACCCACTGAGCTATCCGGCCAGGGCTGCCCTCATCTTTTATAGAATAGGTGCTGCTTCTGGAGAATGGGTGGAGGGAGAAGCTGTAAAGACTACCTCTAACTTAATGATCTTTTACAACAATGAGGGCTGTTTCTGCCTCCATTTCTTTCTTTACTTTGTTAATTGGTGTTATTTCCTGCCCTCCCCATGCCCTTATAGGCAGCGTGCTTTTGATAAACCTCACAATTTACTCCATAGGAAACACACTTTCAAGGTGACAATGTGCCAGGAGTGGAGCAAGAATGGGCATTGCCCAGAGAGGCTAGAATGAAGCGGACGGAGTCACCGATGAGGCTGACGGGTTAGGATGAGCACTTTTATTTCTGTGAGGCCCGGTTGCCTCGTGTTGGTGTTCTGACTGCGTTTTCTTAAATCCCGTATTTGCCTGTTTGGCATCCATTGCTCACAGAGCCAAGTGAACGGCGAAGGTTGTTTATGTCTCCCCTGTGACGCGGCTTTTATGGGCATACAAAAATTACATTACAAATCCTCCAACCAATCCTGATCAACATCCCCAACCACCCCCTTTGTCTCTCTCTACACACACACACACACACACACACACACACACACCAAACCAATATTTGCTCTGCACTAAATCACCCCAGGACCAGGGAGCGATCATCTTAATGCGCACAGCTTGCCAACATTATTCAAACTATCCATTCCTAAGCGGCTTACCCTGTTCTCCGTGTCTCTCCTACAGAAACTCTGATAAATGCTCTGGGCCCTGCTTTCTTCTTTGCCCTTTCTGCCCTTGGCTGGCCCTGGTGCTTCCCCATGTGAGCCTGGAGAGTGCACCATGACTCCTGCTGCTAGGGACCGGTGACAATAATTTTTTCATGGCAATCATTCTGCCATCTGCACATCTCACCACACTTGATTAAACCAATTCTGGGCACAGATTTTAGAACAGTAAAGTGTCAGCATTTTTTTCGAAGTGTAATGATGAAAACTTGGGTATGCCTGGATGTTAGGAACCACAGAGTTGGTTTGGAGGTGCTTCCCAGCATTTAAACTTCTTTTAAATATCTCGGGAATGTCCCCACCATGAAGGTTCCACATAGAACAGCGGTTCTCAACCTGTGGGTCATGACCCCTTTGGGGGTCGAACGACCCTTTCATGGGGTTCGCCTAAGACCATAGGAAAACACATATATAATTACATATTGTTTTTGTGACTAATCACTATGCTTTAATTATGTTCAATTTGTAACAATGAAAATACATCCTGCATATCAGATATTTATATTACAATTCATAACAGTAGCAAAATTACAGTTATGAAGTAGCAACGAAAATAATTTTATGGTTGGGGGTCACCACAACATGAGGAACTGTATTAAAGGGTCGTGGCATTAGGAAGGTTGAGAACCACTGACATAGAAGCTCAAAATACCAGATCCTGCTTCCTCCGCCTTCCTTCCATCTAACTCATGGGCACATGATTAACCAGATGTGTCTGTCCTGGCCTTTGCATAGGGAGCTAGTGACACGGGAAAGTAGGGAGAGGGGAATTAGTCTGGCAGCAGTGTAGCAGCGGCAGCAGGAATGGCTGGTTCCCAGGCACAGCAGCGACAGCAGCACCAGCGACAGTACAGGCTTTGCATCCGGGTCTGCGGCCGCAGGGTCCCCCGGGCAGGTGGTGGTCGTGATTTTGGCTCCAGTCTGGCTGATGTTTCCCTGCTCTCACCTGTGCCCCAAGCAGGTTCTCCAGATTTCTAAGTGTTTCTGTGAACTGCCCATCGTCCTTGGATAAAGTCATTTGCTGCTTAAAAGTAAATCACTAGGCTTTTATTGCTTATAATCAAGAACCCTGATTGATACAATCTATGATTATTTTCTTTCTTTCCTCATTTCTGTCTCTTTTCCTTATTTCCTTCCTTCCTTCCTCCTGTCTTCCTGTCTTTCTCTCTGGAGAATGTATGTATTAAATACTTATATAATTTTAAATATACACACACAGACTATATGTATATCTATCTATCTATCTATCTATATCTATATCTATATATATATAGATATAGATATAGATAGATAGATATGTTGATATATATATATATCAAGATGAAAGTAAATATGGTGAAATACTAGCATTTGCTAATTATGGGTCATGGGAATATGGGTATTTTTATCATTTTTTTTATTTTAGGTACTTAAATTTTCTCAAAAGATAATATTAGCAATCACATACACATATGTAAATGTATGCAGAGTGGGTGCTATTCCACTATTCTAAGCCTTTTATTCATACTAACTCATTGACTCCTCAAACAAACATCCTCCTGTTACATATGAGGGAAATGGGGCACCGAAAGCTTAAGAGAGCTGCCCCAAATCACAGAGCTTTGCAGGAGCAGAGCCGGAAACCAATCCCTGGCAGTCATGTCCGAGGCTGCCCTTTGCTTTAACAAAATAAGGGGTGAAATAGCAAGTAGCTTAAGGGGGAGGCACAAGTCAAAGAGTGTTTTCAGGATGGAAGATGAACTTATTCATGGGCTGAGGGGGCGGAAGAAGCAGGAGGGGGAGGTGAAGACCTGAGGACACCTGGGGACAGTTAATAGATGGGGCACTATTGGGACCGCAGGTGCTAACTTTGCCTGCACGGGAGGAGGAACAGACCCCTGGTTTGATGCTAGAAGGAAGGATGCCAGAGGTCTGTTGGCGGTTGGGAGGAGGATGACCTTGCTTCTCTGAGAAATGGAAGGCAAGGTCACCAGCCAGGAGGCTGAGAGGTGGCAGGCCAACCGGGTGGTAGCAGGAGAGACCTGGTGTTCCCACAGGAGGCCGGCTGGGGGAGACGGGGCTCCAGGGGAGAAGGGCAAGGAGAGAACTGTAGGCTGGCTGTCCAGCAACTCTATCCTCTTTTACTCAAAACTATACTGCTCTGTGGACCCACAGACCCATGACTCGGGAGATTCCCCACCCGAGGGTGGGTCGGGGCCCAGGCAGTGATCCAGGAGCATGGGGTCCTTTGGAGCAAAGAGCAAAGCATCCTAGTAACTGGACAAGGGAAAGCAAATCTGTTGTCTGTCCCCACTGGACACAGACTGAATAGTCACAGGCTCCGCCTCCTCTCCTCCAGAGAGGGTGTGTGTGTGTGTGTGTGTGTGTGTGTGTGTGTGAGAGAGAGAGAGAGAGAGAGAGAGAGAGAGAGAGAGAGAGAGAGAGAGAAAGGGGATGAGACCATAAATGTGTGTGCTTGCCAAGCCAGCAGTCCCTCCTGTGGACGGGTTTGCCTTTTACCTGCAGAAGCCTTTGTGTCGAGCTCTCCACACCCTCTCAGTAGCACCTGCCTGAGGCTTCCCTGGCTGCCAGGGCTGGGAGCCCCGGGCAGACCGACCTGTCTGCAGAACTTGTCCGGCCCTCCCCGGGAGGCCAGCCGCACTCTCAGAGTCAGGTCTTCCTCGTCAGCCTCTGAGTGACCACGAAATGAAGGCACCCAGCTCTGCTCTGCACCTGCCTCTCTGCTTTGGGGGACTTTTTGTCAGCTGACCAGGATCTCCAAGCCAGGCCGGTTCTCTGCATTCTTTGAATGGCCGGTCTTCTCCTGTGGCCACAGGTAAGAAAGGTGCCCCCACGGCTTGTGTTGGGAACGTTGTGGGTGTGGGGACCTTGTGGGGGTGAGGTCAAAGGGATATTACCAGATTAACAGCTTCTGGGTACTTAGGAGGGGGCATGTCAGAATGCTGGAAGTGACCTGCTCCTAGAAAAATTGTAGTCTTCTGGTTGTCCCCGCCGGGGCTGTTCAGAGCGTAGTGACAGTCAACCCCTCCCACTGGGAAGGGGAGCTAGCTTCAGGAGTTATCGCTTTACTATATACTATATTCAGTCTGCTTCGATGTCATTATTACTCCTATTCCTTCTTTTGTCGTGTATTGATTCATTCAGTAACTACTCTGTGTCCTTTAATAATGAGTATTCACTGACTTGGAAGGTAGCAAGTTCTTCATTGCTGGAGTTTTTCTGAGGCTAGAATTAGGAGAGCATTTTCTAGGTCAGCTGGTGTGGTGATCCAGATGACCTCTAAGATTCACTCAACCTTGAGATGTTAAGCTTCTGCGATTGCTCAGTTTCTTGAGCAGAGCAATTATACAAACTACCAATATGCTCCCCCTCCCACCCCCCACCCCCGACTCCCAAGAACCTTTGGTGAAATTATTTGGGGGGGAAAATTATCATTTTCTTTAACCAAAGGGCTTTCTTCAAAGTATTGCTGGTTGCGGGGAATTGAGACTCCCGTGCTGGGGTGGGTGGGGTGCTAATGGCAGGGAGGGGCTGATGGGATCTGAGCAGGCTTTCTGGGGAAGTTGGTGCTTGTGAAAAGAATAGAACGTGGCCTGGTGGGTGAGAGGTTGTAAACCAGCTGCAGTAGGAAGATAGACAAAGAAGCAAGCCCAAGGAACCTTGACTCCAGTGGGTCCAGGATTCAAGAGGCGGGCGAGAGAGGCTGCGATGAGTGGGGGTGGTTGTGAGGGTGGTCTGGACACCCTCGTCCATCAGCAGCAATACAAGCTCAGTGGGGATGTTAGTGCCTGAGCCCTTTATGCAATGTTTTTGTGTTGATTTCTCTGCGCACTCCATGCACCCAGACCCACTTTATAAACAGGGACATCACCCCACAGCCACCTCTCCCGTAAGCCTGCCAATCCCGTCACTTCCAGGATCAAAGGGTTTAGGGCTCCTTCTCTTTTAATATCTTTCTAACAGGAGGTAGAAGGTCACTCTAATTACAGTCAATTACCTGGAACAATTTCCCCTTTGGTTTCCAGTGACAAATTAATGAAATTATCATAGTGTGCTAATTACAAGGGATGCAAATTTGAGGCATCTTGCAGGGATAGGTCTTGTAGAGTCTATTGATCTCATTTGCACATTCTTCCAGAGGGTCCTGGGTACCTCTCTTTGGATCTTGATATGATGCAATTTTAGCATGCCTGGATTTCTATTTTTCCTTCCTACTCTCACTAATGGGGGGAGGGGAAACATTTGTTTTATTTAGTGCATTTGATTGGAAGGAGGAGTGAGTGAAGTTGCACATAGAAGGACCTCCTACAACCTTGGATTTAGGTGAGTCTGGCTTTGGAGTGGGGTACCTTTCCCTTCTCACCACCTGCCCACTGCAGACTTCTGTTCTGACAGTGGCTTAGCAACGACAGTCCTAGTGCCTGACCTGTAGAAAACATGCAAGTACTGGCCCAGGTGCTCACAAAATTGCCCTCCTGGTTGGTGCCACTGCGTAGTGCTTTACTGTGTTATAGTTTAGACGCAAATCAGTCAATACTTCTGAACATCAGTATTTTTAAAATGTATATAAAAGGAATAATAATATATCTTCCCCATGCCCTCCTCGGGGTGATGTGAGGCCTAAGAAAGGGCACAAAAGTGCCTTGCACACCTTGAAGTTGCACAAATGCAAAGAGTTCTTAGGAAGGTCTTCTAGGAGTTGCCAGCCAAGGGGACCCTAGAATCTTCTCTCCTTGTGCTCGCCCAGCCCTGTTTTCTTACAGCTAACCGAAAGCAAAGCAGGGACTCTTCGAGCACGTGTGACTGTAGCGCTGAACGACTGAATTTTAAAACTCCTCTTTATTTTAACAGCAAATAAAACTTCTAGATGGTGGTGCTAGTAGAGGTCAGGTGTCAGGTAGTCACTGATGTCCCCAGGTAAGTTCGGAAGGGATGGGATACATCCTCTGGGGCAGAGGATGGTGGAGAGAAAGGGAACCGGAAAGGGAGCTCTGTGGTTGTCAGGTTCGAACTGAGTGAGGAGAGCGGAGGAAAAAACTTCTCTTGCTCTGAAGTTTTCCCTGGGTGTTGATGAGATTTAGTCTTTGGTGGCGACACTAGAAACTTTTTTAAAATCTTTTTTATTGCCCTAACCGGTTTGGCTCCGTGGATAGAGCGTCGGCCTGTGGACTCAAGGGTCCCAGGTTCGATTCCGGTCAAGGGCATGTACCTTGGTTGCAGGCACATCCCCAGTGGGAGGTGTGCAGGAGGCAGCTGATCGATGTTTCTCTCTCATCAATGTTTCTAATTCTCTATCCCTCTCCCTTCCTCTCTGTAAAAAAAATCAATAAAATATATATTTTTTAAAAATCTTTTTTATTATTATTATTGATTTCAGAGAAGAAGAGAGAGGGAGAGAGAGATAGAAACATCAATGATGAGAGAGAATCATTGATCGGCTGCCTCCTGCATACCCCACACTGGGGATTGAGCTGCAACCCGGGCAAGTGCCCTGACCAGGAATTGAACTGTGACCTCCTGGTTGATAAGTCGATGCTCAACCACTGAACCATGCTAGCTGGGCTGACACCAGAATCTTTAAATTCAACTCAACTCAAGCATCTCTCAGATGCTTACACAGAATGAGAATCAGACTCAGGGAAGAACTTCCCAATAGGAGGAGATGTAAAAAGCCAGGAAGGAAGGCCTCTGGGAACGTGGGCCTCTCAGCATGGCTGTGAAACCAGTGGGACTAACTGAACAAAGTCATGCCTCAAAGCAGGTGTGGATGAGCAGATGAGGTTCTAGAATTTTCCTTCTTTCTACTCTTCTCTGCAGTGTTCTCATCAGGACCACCCACGCTCAGTTCTCTGTCCCCAATGCCTGGAACATTGTTGGCCCCATAACAGTAGCAGGAGTGGAAAGATGAATGATTAAAGAAAAGAATGAGTCACTGGATTATCGGAACAAGTGTTCCATCGTCTTGTTCTCTAATCTAAGCCCTAAGTCTTGGTCTCCTTCAGACTCTTCAGTCTTTATCCAGCTGGCACACATGGTCAACAGACGGTGCCATGGGGATTTTTGTGCCCTGATAACCATGGAGCACTGGGTCCCTGACCCAACCCTCTGCAGCTGCCAGGAGCTTTGTGGGCACGATCCCACCTGCTCGCTGCCCCCATCTGGAGAGGTGGTCAGGGCAGAGAGTGTGCCACCCTTCTCTTCTAGATCAGACAAAATGCCAGCGGGTCGAGCGCCCTGCACAAGGCTGCTCAGCAGGTGGTGGGGCCAAGAATCAAAGCCACACTTACAAACTCCTCTCTTGCAGGGAGGGCGGGAGGGTGGGGTGACAGGTTGAGGAGAAATGAAGCACCAGTGATGGAACCCCTACTCCAAGAGTTGGGACTAAATGGCCTGGGGGCATGAGAATGAGCCAGATGGAACGGGTTTTATGACTCCATTAATAAGAATTCTGATCCCCACCTGAACTCGGTCGTGACACTATTAAAGGACCTCCAGCCGTATCCTTTTTTTTTCTTTTTAAATTGCAGTAAAATATAGATAATATAAAATTTACCATTAGTGACATTTGGTACATTCACAATGATGTACAAGTTGTCACCCCTATCTAGTTCCAGAACATTCTCATCGTCCTAAAAGGAAACCCTGGTGCCCACTATTTGTATTGAGAGTCAGATGATATACTGAGGACCTGGCCAGAGCCTAACACATCGATATGAACAAGATATGCCTGAATGTAAGACAACCCCAGTCTCCCAATGAGGAAAGTTTTGTTTTTTTAAAACACTAACTTGAATATGTAAACTTTTTAGGGTAATATTCATATATTTTCCAGTGACACATGTTTTCATTCACACACTATATAAAATAATACATTCACTTAAAAACACGGCTTTCCCCCAACTCTCCACATTCGCTCACATCTTTGACATCAGTGTCCTCCTTATAACCAGAAGCACTTTTTGAACCAGCTGCCTGCAACCTGGTTTATAGTATCGTCTCCACAGTGCAAACAGAGTTGGCTATTTCTTATCTTTCCAGAGGATGTTTAAGCATTTTTTTAAATAACAGCTTCTTTGAGACATAACTCACATACCATAAAATTCATGTTTAAAATGTACAATTTGGTGAATTTTAGTATATTCACAGAGTTGTGCAATCATCATCTCTATGTAATTGCAGAACATTTTCATCTCCCCAAAAGAAACCTGCACCATGTGCAATCACTCCCTTTTCTCCCTTTCCCCCAAACGTGGCAATCACTAATCTGCTTTCTGTCCCCATAGATTTATTATTCTGGATATTTCATATACATGTATCATATAATAGATAGTTTTTTGGGTCTGGTGTCTTTCACTTTGCATAATGTTTTCAAGGTTCATTCATGCTGTAGCATGTGTCAGCAACTCATCCTTTTTATGACTGCATAGTATTCCATCTTGTGGATGTACCATGTTTTGTTGATCCAGCCCTCAGCTGATTGGCATTTGGGTACTTCCACCATTTGGCTAGCATAAATAGCACCAAAATTCTTCTTTTGGCCTCCCTTTTCAGTATGTTTATCTTCATTTTATTTTATTTTCTAAATATATTTTTATTGATTTCAGAAAAGAAGGGAGAGGGAGAGAGAGATAGAAACATCAGTGATAAGAGAGAATCATCGATTGGCTGCCTCCTGCACAGCCCCCATTGGGGATGGAGCCTGCAACCCTGGGCATGTGCTCTGACTGGGATCGGAACCTTGACCTCCTGGTTCAAGGTTGACACTCAACCATGAGGTACACTGCCTGGGCTGTTTATCCTCATTTTACACATGCAACACTGGAACCAGAAAAAGGGGGACTTTGCCCTAACCGGTTTGGCTCAGTGGATAGAGCATCAGCCTGCGGACTCAAGGGTCCCAGGTTTGATTCTGGTCAAGGACATGTACCTTGGTTGCAGGCACATCCCCAGTAGGGAGTGTGCAGGAGGCAGCTGATCGATGTTTCTCTCTCAACGATGTTTCTAACTGTCTATCCCTCTCCCTTCCTCTCTGTAAAAATCAATAAAATATTAAAAAAAGAAAAGGGGGACTTTGGGGTCATCTTGTGGCCTCCTCTGTCCAGCGAGTCCAGGCTTACCTTAGGGCAGAATAGCTGGTTGACCCTGAGAATATGAAAGATGTTGGTCCTCAAACCAAGGAGAGCCCAAGAGCCCTCCCCTCCTGGGAGGCCTGGTCCTCACCTTTCACATCTGTGTGGTGTGAGAGCAAAGGCACATCTGTATCAAGGATGCGTGTCCCTAAGACCCTCTCTTGTGCTTGCTCAGGTTTGGTGGTGAGAGAGCTGCGTGAAATCCAGCGGAGCTCTGCCAAGTCAGCAACTTGAGGCCCTGCTGGGGAAGCAGTCGAGGTTCAAGCCACAGCAAAGCCCTGGCCTGCCCTCCTCCTGAGGTCCAGGGGCAGCCAGACCTCTCCTCTGAAGCCATGGGCCCCTCCCATCCTGCACTCCCACCCCTGGCCAAGCTTGGCCTGTGGTGGCTCCTTCTGACCCCAGCAGGTGAGTAAGTGTCATCACTAGGACATCATGTCACACCTGCAAGCTCACAGGCTGTGGAGGAAACTTCTGGGTGGGCTCAAGGCAAGTCTGCAGGGGACTTCAAGTAGCTCGGTCCACAGTGAGGGGCAGGGCGCGCACAGGTCAGACACTGGCAGCTGCGGCACCCGGAACCTCCCGGGCTCCAGTGTCTCGCATCTATAAGTGCCAATCGCGCTGTGAACCTCCCAGGTCGACTGTAAGGATCCCGTGAAATGAGAGGTTGTGACTAGCACCCGGAACACAGTCACGCTCAATGCATGGCGACTGCTGCTATTGATGCGCTTCTCTGGGTTTTAGCCTCCACTTGCTGAGGCAGCAGAACCCTAAGAGGTGAAGCTGTTCGCAGAACAGACACGGAGCGTCCCATCAGACAAGTTTGGGACACTTTTCCCTAGCTCCTCAGTTCTGGGCTGAATCTCTTCTCTGGGTCTGACTTCTTCCTCACTCCTCCGCCTTGACACCCCTCCTCAACACTCATTTCCATGCCTTCGTAGAGAACAGTCAAAGAGCAACTGACACTTCTTGAGTTCCAACCATGTGCTGGTTGTTAAGTTCGCACACACATGACCCTATTTAATCCTCAATAGTGTTGTGAGATAGGTTCTGGAGAGCGTCCCCACTTTACAGATGAGGAAACTGAGGCTCAGTGAGGCTGAGTGGCTCTGATTTGATGGGGGAGGGAGTTGGGCACCCACCACCATGGACTCCTGGAGACCCCACTCTTCCTTCCTGTCCCACAGCGTCGGCGCCGCGAGCCCCCCACACCCAAGCCGAGGATCGCCTCTTCAAACACCTCTTCAGGGCTTACAACCGCTGGGCACGGCCAGTGCCCCACACCTCGGACGTGGTCATCGTGCGTTTCGGGCTGTCCATAGCCCAGCTCATCGATGTGGTATGCCTATCCCACCGCCCTCTGAGCCCTAGGGATCAGCCCCCGTAGCACAGGCCCCTTTGCTGGGGTCGTCCCTCCCTCCTCAGCTCCAGCGCCTGTCCCTCTGCACCCCCAGCCCACCTCATCAGAGCTCCCCTTCCTCCCAGCCCCGGGGCCCCTCCTGGGAGGACACTGAGTTAGCAGTGGGTTTCTAGATGCTTGTCTCATTCCGCTGGACACAAGCCCAGAGGACCCAAGTGGCCTGTGTGGTCCTGAAGAGTCTGTGTAAGGGGCACAGTGTCGGGAGGGGTGCTGGCCGGGCGGGGTTTGCTGTATCATGTAAGACGGCCTTCTGGAGAGGGAGGGGCTGGAGTCAGCCCGCCCCAGGTCCCCCTGTCTTCTGGGGCTGGTTCTGCCGCTCTAACTTCGCTTCTCCTCTCTCCCGCTGCCTCCCGGCCAGGATGAGAAGAACCAGATGATGACCACCAACGTCTGGCTCAAGCAGGTGAGGGCCCCTCCGGGGGAGGCAGGAGCAGGGCCCATGCTTTCGCTCTGCCGGCCCAGCTTCCTCTCCTCCCCGGGTCCCTCCCCAGGGTCATGCATTTGTGTACACGTTACGCGACTATTCCTGGAGGGGAAACGGCATCACGCAGGGGGCCTTTTCAACACGGCGCTGTTTTAGTGCAAATGCACGAAAGCAAAACGGCCCGTGGACCGGGAGGCAGGGTGCAAGCCCCGGTGCTGCCAGCAAAGTTGCCTTTCTAGATGGTAGCGGTTATTATTTTAATTATGATAAGCCCCCGTGAGGCGAAGGACAGGCTTGCGTGTCCACGCCAGTCATTCTCTGTTGGGAGTGGTTGTTCCTTTTAGGTCCAGAAGGGACACGGGAAACCCTCCCCGAAGTAGGACCCTACCACTTGGGAGTGTTTTCATTGCTGGGATATTCGTTGATTGAGTATCTACCAGGGGCCGGGTGTTAGCAATGCAGGTGTTGTCCTTGGCTTCCTGGACCTTCCAGGGGCTTGGCTTCCTGGACACGCCCAGCCACCTGTAATTGGCATGTGTGACAGGGCCATAGAGACTTCAGAGAGTGAATAATACTCACCTGGTTTGGGGGAGATAACAGGTTCACTTGGACCGGCTGGTGTAAGGCCTGCTGGGACTCCTAGGGGGCGCTCTGGCGCACAGTTTGAACTCCCCTTTCTTAGCTGTATATTCTGGCAGGTTTTTACCTCTCTGCTCCTCAGTTGCCTTATCTGTGAAATGGAGAAATACTCCCACCTTTTGGCATTCCCTGCCCGGGTGCAAAAAACTGTAAATTGTGATGCATTAACAAATGTTACTGCAAATGAGTGAGGTCCTCCCCACCCCCTCCACTAAGTGGTCCCGCTAGGGCGTAGCAGAACTAAGACGCCTAGAAGCGGGACTAGGGTGCCTTATGTGCTCCGGACTCTGGACATGAGAGCTGGGGCAAAGCGAGAGATTGGCCATGTCCGACCAGACTCCTGACTCCCAGCCCCGAGCCCTGCCTGCTCCGTGGGGCTGGGTGACCAGCTCTGGTCAGAGCTCCTGAATCCGGCTGCTGGGGCGTCCCCGGGCTGCCCCGTGTTTGCCCCGAGACCCCCTCCCCGGCAGCACCAGGCGCCCTGACTCCCCTCCCCACGCACAGGAGTGGAGCGACCACAAGCTGCGCTGGAACCCGGCCGAGTTCGGCAACATCACATCCCTCCGAGTCCCTTCGGAGATGATCTGGATCCCGGACATTGTCCTCTACAACAAGTAGGAAGCCGCTGGGGTCTTGGGAGGGCCCCTGGGAGCCCCCCACCCCCCTCACCCCACCCCCGGGAGGAGTTTCTGGGTTGGACTTGGGCAGCGCGCCCCCTTGTGTCTCACCTCTATGTCTTTCTCTGAAGTCCTGTTCTGCTATTACTACCTCCTACTCCCACCTTTTCTCTCGATGCCTTTATTTCTTTCATTTTGTTCTCTTCCCCATACACCCGAATTTATTGAGCACCTGTTATGTATCAGTGCTTGGTGCTGTGCGGGTGGGATACAGATTTTCCAACACTATTATTTGAAAAACATGGCTGGTGCGGGCTGTGAAACACCATCCTAAGGTTGGAATTTTGCAGGATGGCAGTGTTGCTAGAACAGGTA